TCGATATTTTCATGGACAGATGCATCTATTTGTGGATAGATCAGTAGAATGAGCATGTTTTTCCTTCTTATTGGTTTCCTCACCGCCTGCTGCAGACCCGGACTAGCAGCTATATTCTTTTGGACTCTGTCAGCTTGTTCAATAAACATATTTGGTGATAAACTCTGACAATCCTGAGTACATTCTTTGCTCTTACCACCCTTACTGCTTCCTCTAAATGGTGTTCAACATGGAAGGGAATGGATTCATTTGCTGACAGTGGGCAGTAGTTAGTAATCAATAGGGTTTTCTTTGCTCATGTTTGACCTGATGTTGTGAGACTTTGTGGGGTCTGGAATAACTGTTGAGGTCCTTGACAACTCCCTCTTGACGGTGCACCACTGTGCTGCCACCTCTGTCCGTGGGACTGGACATACACAGGGATGGTGGTGTCCAGTATGTAGTCATTCTAACGGAATCATACCTTACAGACAGTGCAAAACTGTTATTTGATGAGTGTGGGACAGCTTAACCAATTTTGACACAAGCTCCCAAATATTAAATGGGAGGACATTTGCAGGGCCAAGAGGGTTGTATGTGCCATTGTAATTACCATTCTGTTTGATAATGTCAGGTAATCTGTACAGTTTCATTCCTTTGCTCAGACTTAGTAGTGGTTTGATACAATTCAATAGCACTTAAGAAGACCATGAGTTAGATTTAGGCCAGATCTGGTGAACATGGCATATTTGCTTTCCTGGATGGAAATGGTTTCATGATCACTATTTATTTCCAGATTTATCAATTGAATTAAAATTTCGACATTTACCATGGTGAGATTGGGGCAGCTATTCCAAATCATTGGCTGGGCCTCTGCACTACTAATCCAGTGACATTGGTGGAGCACCACCATTTTGGGATTTACCATTTGGGGTTGATGCCAAGTTTTTACCCTGCCACAGGGAGCAAGATTCTGAAATGCACGGGCTAATGAGAGAAATTAAGTAAGAGAAGAATAATGCCTTAACAGTCACCAAGGGCTACATTAAGTGTGAATAATAGTAAGGAAAAAATAGAGATAAGGGTAAAAAAAAGTATCAGGATGGAGGTAAAGAAGAGAGAATGGGGAAATATTAGTCTGTATTTTTAAGTTAGCAGTGAAGCAACAACACTGTATTGACCTCAATGAACTTTGCCAGTAAGGATTTTACAGTGTAATTTGCACCTTTTAGAACATTAATTTGAAACTTGGACTAAGAAAACTTCTTGCATCCACCAGCAGAGATGTCATCAAGCTGGATAAGTAGTGAATCACATTGAAAAGTACTTACAGACAGCAAACCAATCCTTCACCTTGTTCTAAAGTGATTTGACAGCCCAATTTGTTACATTACAACTTTTAATTGCAAAATGGATTGCATTTAGGATTTTTTGCTACATTTTCTTTAGCATCCGTATGCTTTTCTGTAGCTTTCCCTTATTTGGATGAATTTTGTATAAGATACACATAATCTGAAATTTGGTGCAGTACAGAGAAGTATTCTGCAAGGGAGCTGAATCCAGAGTAGGCATTGGTGGGTATTAGACCCAGTTTCACCACTAAACACATTCTCTGGGCTTGAAGTCAAATGATCATGAATCACAGAACAGAACTGTTCCAATTTTAACATAAATTGAGTAAACCTGTCAAAAGATATTTGAATGTTGTGTTCAGTTTAAGGTAATTAACAAAAAAGTGTGACGTCTTGAGTTGACACAGTAAAGGAAAAGTGCTTAGAGTTGGGCAGAAATGTAGAAACCTTTTAATGTCTTGATTTAACCAATTCACCACTCATCTGGAAGGATGCATTGGTCTTTGAGAAAGTACAACACAGATTTAACAAAATAAAGTCAAGAAAAAGATATTGTATTATGCATAGAGTATTATCAGAGGTAGTGTCCCCTTAAGATTAGACATTTGATTAAAATGACTTAATCGAATTGACACAGGGAAGCCATGTCTACTGGGGAGGGTAGTTCAGAACAAGGAGATACAATTTTAAAATTCAAGCTAAGTCATTTATAAGTGAAATCAGGAAGTACTTTTTCAGTACTTTACTTTTACAGAAATGTAGACCTTCCTCCCCCAAAAGGCATTGCTCGGGGTCAATTGAAACTTTCAAGAGTGCAATTGAGTTTTATACAGTAAATTTATTGAGGAAAATGGAGCTAAATACAGGTCTACCAGGATCGCAGTAAATGGTGGAACAGACTCTAAGGGCTGGCTGGCCTTCAGTTATTATTCCTACTCCTGGCTGGTCTTGCAACATCTATAGCGATAATTTGATGACAAATGTCAGCTGATTAGTTGCTGACTGAGAAGGGGGAGATGGCAGCCAATGCTAAAAATCTCTTCAATCATGACTATTTCCAGCAAGGGGCATTGGACCTCTAGTTTAAAGTGAATTGTGGCACCTGTATTACTGTATAGGCTGGGATAAGCTGATTTAGGGCAGGCCACAGATTGGGATCTTCCTGTTCTGTGGAACTAACTTACTCACTGGATAAATTCACCTACACATCAGTAGGGCAGGGGAGGAAATAGTTGAAACCAATGTGCCATTATTTCTAAAATCAATGATCATAGTAGCTGTGAAGAGTAATTTGAGGATAATTGTCCTGTGGTTTTCTTTCCTCTCCAAAGGGAATTGTCTCTAATCTTCCTTATTTTTACCTTACAGTGAGTTCATCAGAAGCCCCACTTAACTTCTATTGCTATTATTAACAGCCCTTCCAACAAAGACTGTGATTTGTTTTCTATGGGAATGTGCAAACCTACTGTATTTGGTACTCACCTCAAATTCTGTTCTTTGGTGTGAGATGTCTGAGGGTCAAATTGACTGCAAAATATTTATTGTATATACAATAATGCCAATATGGGTATAACATTTCTTTAAACGTACCTGTGTCTACAATGTAACCAGTGTTAAGAGAGGGCCAATATAGTAATATGGGGAAGCTGTGGACAGTAACCTCAAAGGAGTTTAATGAAAAGAAAGAGAAAGCCAGTGTCTCAGTTAAAGACTAAGGTAATGGAAACCTCACAGGACTCATCAAATTTCATCATCAAATGTTCAAATACTGTAGTGTATTAAATCTTGCTCATACTGAAAGAAGGTCAACTGTCTTTGGGCATCATGGTGGCACAGTGGTTAGTACTGCTGCTTCACAGTGCCAGTGACCTGGATTCGATTTCAGCCTTGGGTGACTGTCTGTATGGCGTTTGCATATTCTCCCCATGTCTGCATAGGTTTCCTCTGGGTGCTCCAATTTCCTTCCATAGCACAAAGATATGCAGGGTAGGTGGATTGGCCATGTTAAATTGTCCTGTAAATTGGTGTGTGGGCTAGGTGGATTAGTCATGCTTGTTACAGGGATTAGGTGAGGGAGTGAGATCCTGGGTGGGATGCTCCTCAGGGTCAGTACAGACTCGATGGGCTGAATGGCCTCTTCCTGCACTGTAGGGATTCTGTGTTACTATAACTAATACAGGTCAACATAAGATCATTGGTAATTAAGGTCTGAAAAAGATTACTCTAGCCAGTGACTTTTTACTTCTGGGCAACTGTCTGAGGCTGTTTACATTCTTGGTGATCTATTTGACTGTACAATGTTTCCTATCATATTCTGTCTATGAACAATACCACCTATTTCACCTCTACAACATTGTCTGACTTTGCCTTGCACTCAGCTCTTCTGTTGCTGAAACCTTCAACCATGCATTTGTTCACTTCAGATTTGACTGTTCCAATGCATACCTGGCCGACCTCTCACATTGCATTGTCTATAAACTTCAGCTCATCCAAAACTTCTGCTATTCTAACTTGCACTGAGTCCTACCTGCTTATCACACTCAAGTTTGCTGATCTACTTTGGTTCCTGCTGTAGGAATACCATGATTTTCAAAAGTAAATAATTCTCATTCTTAGTTTTTGTGTTCCTCAATAGCCTAAACTTTATCATCTCTGTAAATTCTCCTATCCCTATGACTCTGAGCATTTTTGTGTTTCTTTAGTTCTGGCCTTTTCTGTATCCCTGATTTTGATTGCTATATCATTAGCTGTGCATTCAGCTATCTGTGCTATGAACTGAAGAATTCCATTCCTAAACATAAACAGATAACTCTTGCTTAACAAGAATCTATCTACCTTTGACTTAAAAATATGCATGAACTCAGCTTCCACCACCTTTTGAGGAAGAGGGTTCCAAAGACACATGATCCTCGGAGAGAAAAATTCTCTTTTAAAAGCTATTTTAAAAACAGTGACCCCGTGTTCTAGATTCTTCCACAAGACAAAACATTCTCTCCACACCAGCCTGTCATGACCCTTCAGGATGTTACAAGTCAAAATCAAGTCACCTCTTACTCTTGTACCCACTCCATCCTTGTTGTCTCAATACCTCTTTCCTCACTTAAAAAGTATTTCTTTGATTAAATTATTGTTACTGGAATATTAATCCAGATTGTAGAATCCCTACACTGTGGAAACAGGCCACACTGATGCTTCAAAGAGCATCCCACCCAGACCCATCCCCCTACCCTGCATTTCCCATTGCTAATACACCTAGCCTGCATATGATGGGCAATTTAGCATGGCCAATCCACCTAACTTGCACATATTTGGACCAAGGGAGGAAACCAGACCAGCCAGCAGAAACAGGGAGAATGTGCAAACTCCACACAGACAGTGGCCAAGAGTGGAATTGAACCTTGGTCCCCAGCACTGTGATGCAGCAGTGCTAACCACTGAGCCACGATGCTGCCCTGATCTGTACAGCAAAGTTCAAACTCACCAAAATGCATTGTTGTGACACAAAAAAAATGACTTATTACTCTCTGACTTAAACTTTTTCCCCATAGCTGCAATTTCATCTTTCATGAAGACAGCATCTATACCTGACATTAGTCTGTTGGGTAATAGAAGTATGTGATGCTTTATTGTGACCTGCAGCATCTGACTCTTCTCATTTTATTCCTCCAGTAAATTTTGACCATTTCCAGATCTTAAGAGCAATTGGGAAAGGCAGCTTTGGCAAGGTAAGTGCGTTTCATCTTTGCTAATCTCTACATAATGATCTTTTATTCTTCTGTGGTGCAGCAGTGTACCATAATAATTTATCTCTACCAGTGTGTGGATGAGTTATTTTGTCTCCTTTTCCTCACCCAAGCTAATTGAACAGATGCCATCTAAAAAGAGAGTAATACAGTACAGATTTGTGACTGAATCAGAATCTAGTTGGTACCAATATCGTTTTTACTAATGCACATTTATACAAAACAGTATTTGGAGAGAAGAGTGTGAGGAGTGCAGGCATGCATATAGGCTCTCGCTCTCTCTAAACGAGATGTACATACTGTCCGGCAAAGAAAACACAGTCAGATTGTGAGGATGCAAATCTAATGCCTACCTTGCATTCACATACACTCACACAAGTGCATTTACACTTGCTTGCATAGACTCTGCCCGACACCTTTATGCGCTTGTATGCACTTCATGTCAGCCCTTTAAATATTGAAAATCCACTTCTGATCAATACTTTAATATTATCTTATGAAACAAAAGGGAGCATTAGAGCTCAGTGACTAGATGGCAAATCACTGGGTAATCAATGAAAGTTTAGTACAGTGAAGTAGACAGATTGACATTGTGTCACTGTATGGACCATGGTGAATTTAAAGGTTCAGGGTGGTGGAAAACTGGAACACAGGTTAATGGTTCATTATTTATTCCCAAAGACTTTAACTTTCGTACTATGGAATTGAATGTAAAGAGAAAGGGAAAATAATTTCAAGTCACATTTGTTTTATGTGGTAAACCAACATTTTGATGTGCATCTTTGAGTTGGAAATGCAAATCAAATTGTTTCCTGATATTACAATCCTGCCTCAGGCCCAACAAAAAGGTGTTCAGATGTACAGGTTAGAAGGCCTGTCTTGATGCTCTAGTAGCTCAGTTCTATACATAAGTGTTAGGCACCTTTGCCCTGACACTTTGCTCACCAAGTGCCCCTGTCAAGCCACCCTACCCCCTCAAAATCTCCAATATGTTATTCAGTCAATGGAATGATCAATTTCAGGGTGTATTTGATGCAGTGGAATCTGAAGCTCAACACTGCTCAATGCAGAATATGTGAAGTAGGCAGCACCCCTTGAACACTGTTGTCAAAATGTTGCTGACTCCATATTTGAGCTTCCTCATGGACCACAACTCCTGAAGTGCAATGGACCATTAACCATGTCACACACAAGAAGGAAAAACCAGATTAACTTGTAAATAACTCATACTGAACCAACCTCTATATATAGCTCAGAAAGAAGGTCCATATAACATGTATGTTCTTTTCCAAATGTGACTATTTGGACTATCAGAAAGGATCTGACTCCATGAAAATACTGCTGGGTGGGATGGGTGTGTGTGTGCTGGGTGTTCTTTTCAACCCCCTGAATTGGAGTTGGTGAAATTGGCTGTGCTATGTATGGCTCATTGTTCATGTTCTTGTCCCATGCAGCTGAAATAGCCAGCGATGGGAATGGGGACAAGAATCCTGGAATCACATCCATTTTTAAAGCTTGGCTGCCTCAGATCTGAGACAGAAGCATGAAATTCCAGATCTTAGTTAACTTGTACTTACCTAACTAAAATGCCATCACATAAATATGAAAACAGCTGTACTTTATTGCCTTCTCTATGTGAGCATGTACCTGTGCAGTAGAAAGGCATATTGTGTTATTTTCAGAGTATGACTAACCCATTAAAAATGCAATCCCTACTTGCAGAAAGGCATAGAGAATTGACTGCAAATGCCAAGAAGTAGCAAAAGAAAACCATCCTCTTAATGAATCCCCTAGTATTTCTCTCTGTGTGTTCATCTCCTTTCACAAGCCAATCTGCAGACTGTCTAGCACACTGAAATCAGATTCAAACTGTAAACCTTTGCAGTATGTCAAGTGTTATACTTGGTCTCTACAACTTTAATACAAATCGGTTTTAGAGTATGAACAATATTATACTATACCACCAAAACAAGCTTTTGCTTGACAAAAAATGAAGGTATGATTATTTTCCAGGTCCACTTCAATACAGCATCTTGCTGAGGCTATCAAAGAGCTTTGACTCAATTCCAGATTCTCCTAAACTTGTTCCGAGCTTCTACTGCAACACTGAACTTTTGGGTGATTTCTAACATGTTACAGTGGAAGCTGAAACCAAATTATTGTGCCACATTATTCATGTTCATTGACACTGAGAAAGCTCCGTGCTAAATCACCAAACATCTAAATGCTTATGCCCATCAGGATCAGGGTTTTCCTGTATGTTCCCTTATTGAAGTTTTAATCTGAATCCTTCACTGTAGAATTCATCTGTGAGCTTATCATCTGGGGAATTGGTGCACAAACCACATTTTCTCCTTGCTCTGCTGCAACACACTTGTGCCCAGTAGCTCATTTACATGGTGCCAGTGTCTTGAGCTGAGAGCTACGAGTGTCAGATTAAGTGACAGTGCTTCTTCATCAGAGATCTTGTTTGATATGGCACTTCATGATGAGGCTGCAGTGGCAGGCTAGGTGGAAGTTTTTGGGTATCTGAAAGTACAAATGTAATGGCGGAGTACTGGCATAAGGGAGGAGGTTTGGGTGGCAAGCAAGAGGTCCAAGATCACCCTAACTGTAGCTTATACTTCATGAAGGATTACAAGATGAGATGCATTTTAAAGAGGGAGCCTTCAGGTTAGGATTTGGAACTTAGCACATCTTGAATATCTTCAACAATGTCAAATATAGTGACTTCAATCACAGCCATCCCATGGTGCAAAACTCCATGATGTCCAGAGGCTTCCAGATCTACAAGTGTGCCTGGCCTAACCAGGTCTGGATTGCACCCCATGATAATGGGCTGCCTTGTCCTGTAAAAGCAGGGAAACAGTGTCAGCGAGTGTCATATTTTGTGTTTGGGTGATGTTTCTGACATAGCTGAATAACCAAAGGTATGTGAAAACATCAGTCAGTTGTGAGGCTGACAACATTAGTTAGTTGCTGAGGGTGAGGTGAAGTATCTGATTGTTAGGTATGAGTCTTCATTGCAGATGGATGAGTGAAAGGACTATTAAGTGCTGTGAGAGGGGTGATCTGCTGGGTGGGAGACGTCACTTCATGATACATTCACTAACCTTAACAACCAATGTGAGCTTGTTGAACTTTTCCTGGCACTGCAGCCAACTTCTCTTTTTTTGGAGCATGAATTGCCTCTCTGGGAATTGCCTCCTGAATCACCTATTCCCTCCTACAGGTGTGTTATGTAGCCTCCTGACGCCTGTGAAAACAAAACATCTCTTCTCCTTTCCACCTCATTCATTAAGGCCTCCAGTGCCACATTTGAAAATCTGGGAGTCCTCTCTGCCCTACTGCTCCATCTGTTCCTTGCAGCCAAGTACTCCTTGGCAGTTACAGGAGCTTCTGTTACATAAGAGCAGCTCTCATTTAAGGGGATGGGCTGTCTTTAAGAATGGTAGGCTAACTGTATGTTGCACTTGCTACGCATACTGAATATGCAGCCAGGGAGTTGTGCAGTCTCACTAGTGCATAATGCTACCATCGTGGATTATCAAGCAACATTATGCTCACATACTTCAACCTTCAACCACTCTGCACTTGATTGTTTGTTTGTCAGCAGGCCCTGCCGGTAGATTTCTAGATGTTGACATCCAGTTTGAATAAGATCAGGGTCAGGATCAAACTGGAACTAGTACCTCTTACCTCTAATAACTTGCCAATGTTGCCTGTTTGGTGATCAAAAGGGAGGTGTTGATTTAGAAGAATTATGGACTAGACTGTCAATTGAGAAACCTAGATAATGTTCTGGGGACGAGTTGGAATCCCACCATGGCAGATGGTGGAATTTTAATCCAATAAAAAATCTGGAATTAAGAGTCTAATGATAACTATGAAGCCACTGTTAATTGTTGGAAAACCCCACTTGGTTCACTAATGCCCTCGAGGGAAGGAAATCTGCCATCTTTACCTGGTCTGGCCTACATGTGACTCCAGACCCATAGCAATGTGGTCAACTCTTAATTACTTGAGCAAGCCATTCATTTGTAGCAATAGCTGCAAAGTCTGAAGAAAGAAACAAAACTGGATCTCCCACACGTGGACTGCTGCGATTTAAGAAAGCAGTGCACCACAACTAGTAATGGAAAAACAAATGCTGGCCAAACCAGTGATGCCCACATCTGAAGAGAGAATTAAAAAAACACAATGGAAGATGGAGGATGCTTGTGGAGCTTTATTTGAGGACGAGTCAGTGCATGAAGAGCAGCCAAAAAGATAGATCGAAAGCAGCCAGAAATTAAGTTGCAATCTCAGCAGATTTCTAATAGAGGAATGAGGACATTGTTTGACATTAATTAGACTGTATGTTGAGGCCAAGATGATATCTTCTGAGTCCACAAATAATGCATTGTTATGAAAATGTTTCTTCCTAAAGGGAATATATCCCTTGGATGGGAGCCAGATGTACAATCATTTTGCAAAAACCACTTTCATTACTTCATCAGGCATGTATCAGAGATTTGTGCAATCAGCAGTCCATTGAAATCAAACCACAGAAGTCAGTAGACCACTATTATGGACATAAGTAGTCAGCATCTTTCTTACTGCAACATCTGTAATGACAGAAGTTTGGGAAGTCAAATAAACTGGTTGTTTACTAGTGAAATGGGAATACAGGCACATTCATAGCAACTCCCCAGCCATTATCCTTAGATCAAAAGGTTTAGAATAAAATTGCCAGACAGAATTGCCAATCAATGTGGCTCACACTGAGTACAGACTAGGAAATCATAAGCTTTCTGTTACCGATTGTTTGCCCCTTAACTGAAGAAGTGGACAATCATGACATTCAGGCCCCTTTCCCAATCAACACTGTTAGCAAGTACCCAGTCAGTGCCTCCTCAGATATTATTATATTAGATATCAATATCCAAATGTACCCTCCCCTTTTTTTAATAGAGGTGGGCAAGTTATGCTCAAAATATTGA